AGCGCCGCCCTGAGCCTTCCAAAGCCCCTAGGTGCAGCCGCGGTCCAGGTCTCCTCCTACCACCCCGGCCTCCCCCGGCTCAGGCCACGCCCTCCACCTCGTCTCCCTTCTGAATCCTAGACTCCGCCCTAAGACCGCCCAAGCCCGGCAAACCCGCCCTCGCTCCATCAGCCGCTGAAACGCACGCGGGGCTACCTGGTCCCCATCTAGGCCCCGCCCCAAGCACAGCCGGGCCCTGCCCAGCCCAACGCGTCCCCTGCCTGGCCACGCCCATTATCCTCCAGGACCTCCCCCCACTTGCTGGAGCCAGCTCCGCCCCAAGCCCCGCCTCCAACACTTAAGAGGGCAATGGGCAAGAGCCCCAGTCCACCCTTCCCAGCCTCAGTTTCCTGTCCTGACTGTTAAGCGTGGACTGTCTGCCTACGTCTCAGAACGGTCTGGACGTGGGGAGCCGGGAAACACTTTGATTCTGTTCTCATCACCATTTGCAAACAAGGACACTGGGGCGTGGATCAGAGGTCTCTGGGCCGAGGCTGAAAGGAGACAGAGGGGTCACTCCTGCACGAAACTGAGGGAGAGGCACACTAGGAAGCGAAAACCCACCCAGGGCTTTTACTCACTGCCAAGGAGGCTAATTGGCCCCAGGACCGCTACTTCCTCTGTGTGGGTCTTGGTCACAGGCCGCCCCGAGGCCTTTGCTCAGCCGTTCACCGGCCTCCTCCTGTGGGCCTTCTCCAACAGTCCTCCCCATTAAAGCAAGCTTCCTTTCCACCGGGACCTCCCCTGGCTGTCACCCACAGTTTCTGTCCTTCAATTGTCTGCCCAACCATTCTCCCCCAGAAGCCCTATTTCACTAGCTTGGGTTTTTGTTTTTTCCATCTTATTCGTTACTGTGGTGATTTCATTTCTTCTATCTCACCTATTAGCCTTCTTTGCACGGAACTCCTGTCGGAGGGTAGTTTGACCACACCAGCACTGGGCACACAGGACCTTCCTCCCTGCCAGCCTGTATCTACTGTGATCTCTTCAAAAACACCCAGAAAAAGAAAACAGAGCCCCCCAGCAGTGTCCCCAGCCAGAGGCAAAGCTGAGCCTTCCGAGGCACAAGCTTCAAGTTCCAGTTGTGACCCCCATATTCCAGGACCCTGGAGGCAGGCTGGGCCCATGCACCGACCAAGCATCATTTCCCTGATATATCAACTGACAACATGACCTCTGTTGTTCAGAACAACTGAACACAGTATGTTCTCAGGGGAAAGGGAGGGAGGGAAGGAGTGGGAGGGAGGGAGGGAGGGAAGGAGGGAGGGAGGGAAAGAGAGACAGAGAGACAGAGACAGAGACAGAGACAGAGAGACAGAGAGTGCACAAAGAGACAGAGGCATCTGGAGTGTCCATAGCCGAGAGACAAATAAGTAAAGTGGACATGACCAAGGCTATCAGTGAGAGGGGGAGACTATGAGGGGATAGAGAGAGAAAAACAGCGGGAAAGAAGCAGGAGCAGAGATAGAGGGGGAGAGAGAAAGGGACACACAGAGAGAGCATAACTGAAATATCAGCGTTATAAAGACAATGGGTGTCTGGACAGAGTTTAGGGAAGGGAAGAGAGGCTAGGATGGACTTGTACTGAAGGAGCCAGAGGCCATCAGGGCTTTGACATGCTGATAGGCACTATAGGTAGCTATATGTCCCTAGGGAATGACTGCTTTGGGTAGAAGGGAGCCAGCTTCACAAGTTCCCAAGCAACTTGGGTTTTATTTAACTCCCAGAAACCCTCCTACAGTCCAAGCTGAACTTATTTCTGGACATTTGGACTGCTGTTGGCATTTGGAGTTTCCTGTGGGGTTGACATGGCGGGGGATCCAGTGTGCAAGCCAGGCTGGAGGCCCTACGACACACAGCTATTTGGGCTCTGGCAGCCTCAGGGACACTAAAAACACCCAAAGAGCTCACCCAAGGCCTGGGCCAACTGTACCTCACCTGAAAGACAGGGTCATAACCCTGGGGTACTCAGAGAGCCTCCAACCAACGGTGGAGTAAAACTCCCCAAGGGGCAGGTATGAGCGGGACAGCTCAAGGGGTACAGTCCCCATAGGGTGAGGACCTGAGTTTGAATTCCAGGAGCCTACATAAATAGCCATGTATGGCTATGCACAGCTGTAACACCAGCACTAGGGGCAGATATCAGAGGATCCCTGAGCCTCGCCAGCCAGCCGCCCAGACAGCTGGACAGCTCTGGACTCACAGAGACTGTACCTCAAAAACTAAGGTGGGGACCAATAAAGAAAGACCCTGTATGGCTTCTGGCCTCCATGTGCACACACACGAAATTACCAGGTTGAGCACAAAGAGAGGGCCCAAGGAGGCCCAGGGAACCTGAGGATCTCCAGGCAGTTTATGGCTGCTGGGGGGAGAGGTATTATCCTTAGTGTCACAGCCACTGGAACAGCATCTGTGCTCCTGTATAGACCCTAATTAACTCAGTGGGTCACAAAGAACAAAAGGAGAAAAGGAGGGAGAGGAAGAGGGGGAAGGAGGGAGGGAAGCCAGGTAGCATACATAGATGGAGTGCCTAGAACAGGTCAGAGCTGAGGTCCAGGGACGAAGCTGCTCCCCAGTATCCCACTGTGTGCCAAGGCCCTGGGCTTCAACAAGCCAAAGAAAAGAGAAAGGCTG